TGGGGGCTCAGGAGCAACTAACGTGTGTGTGACTTTTGCGTCCGCAGTGCGAGTGGCTGCTGGGAGACCGGAAGCCCTCCCCCGAGGAGCTGGACAAGGGCATCGACCCCGACAGCCCCCTCTTTCAAGCCATCCTGGATAATCCAGTGGTGCAGCTGGGCCTGACCAACCCTAAAACGTTACTAGGTACGTGGGCTTCCCCAGGGGCGGGCCCCGCCACACCGCGTGGATTTCACCGAGTGACACCGATGTCCCTGTCACCTTCGGGGAGCTCCTGCCTGAGTCACGGTGGGGCCCAGTGGCCGGGCTGTGGCCGTGGTGTGGCGGCCTCCCGTGCAGACGACTTGGACGAGCTGTGGGCACCAGAGTGGCCCGTCCAGGTTGAGGAGAGCGCGGGCAGTGCCCCGCGGGCCGGGGCCAGGTGTGCGGGAGACATTGGCCTCTGCTCTTTCTGGTCGCGAGGGCTTTCTCTGGCCCTCTCTGACCGTGAAACAGCCTGCGTCCGGAAGCGCATATGGTTTTTGTGACTCGCAGAATAGTAACGAAACTAAGACCCACACATCCTTTTGGCTTCAGAGGATGGGATGGGAAGAGCCTGGGGACGCCCGGTGGCCGGGTCGGTTAAGCCTCTGACTCTTGATTTCTGCTCAGGCCATGATCCCAGTTCGTGAGTTCGAGCCCCACGTCGGTCTCTGTGCCGACAGCACAGAACCTGCTTGGGATTCTCCCTCTCTCTGCCCCTCCCCCACTCGTTCTCTTTCTCGCTTTCTCTCTCTCTCTCAAATCAATAAACTGAAAAAGGCACCACCAACAGTGTGGAATTCTAGGCCCTGCGGGTCCTCCGGTCCCCTCCCCCACCCCAGGAGCGGGCCTTCATCGTCCCGTGGGCCCCTCGGGGGCAGCGTGCCTGTGTCTGTGCCCGAGCCCCACCCCCCATCACCCGCGTCTGCCAGCTGCTTTGCTGTCACCTCCACCTGGGGGCTTGGTCGGGGCTCATCCTGTGTCCACACCTTCCCCTTTGTCTCTCGTCGCATGTGCAGACGTCCTGTTCGCGCTCTTGTTCTGGACAGGTGTTTCTTTGGGACGTTGGCAGGTGCGAGTCTGGTAGGAGACCGTCCTCGCTCTGATAGATGTCCGTCCTTGCCGTCTGTCCCAGCCAGCCCCTGGGGCCCCGCGTCGTTTACCCCTGTCCCCAGGACGGCTCTAGGTGCCAGGAGGCGGCGGGTGGGGTGCCCAGCACGTTCACGGAGCCGCCGGTCCTTCCTCACTGACCCCATGCTGTGTGCTTCCTCGAGTTCGCCTGGACGCCCTGCCGTCCTTCTGGGCTCCCTGTCTGATACTCGTGACTGGTTTCTGGAGGGTGCCCATCAGGGGTCCCCCGGTGGTTTTAAGGGCTGGGAGGGCTGTCAGGTCACACAAGCAAGTGACTAAGTCAGACTTTCTTGCTACACCGCGGTCCCGTGTGGCCCTGAAGCGCCATGAGCAGACAGGGTGAGTGCGCTCCCCGAGGCTGGTGCGCGTGGGGCCGCTCCGCACTTCCGCGTGTGCTGACGGGTGAGGCCGGAGGGAGGACGGCACTTTCCAGACCTGTAGCCTGTGAGCTCACACGGCCAGGGTTTGCGGGGGACAGCCGTGTGCTGGGAGACACCTTCTGTCAGATTTTATTTGTAAGTCGTTTCTACACCCGACGTGGGGCTCGAACCACAACCCTGGGATGTGGGGTTCCTGCTGAGCTGCCCAGGCACCCCTCACTCACATTTTTAATGCTCGGGTTTTTTTGTTGTTCTTCTAAAAATGTTTTAAATGTTGATATTTATTTTGAGAGAGGGTGCGTGTGCAAACAGGGGAGGGGTAGAGAGAGAGGGAGACACAGAATCCCAAGCAGGCTCCAGGCTGTCAGCACAGAGCCTGACCCGGGGCTCAAACTCACAAACTGGGAGATCATGACCTGAGTCAAAGTCAAGTCGGACACTTCACCGACTGAGCCGCACAGGTGGCCCCGCGTCCGGTTTTTTTAAGTCATTTCCTGAACACTGAACATTCTCATTTTCCCAATCAGATATCGTTAAATTTGCAACAGTGTTTTTATGTCTTTTCTGCATCTGATTATTTTGCCAGGATAGGGTTGGAATTGGAATTACTGAGTCATAGGCTGCGACTATTTTTAAGATCGCGGATAGCCGTTGCCAGATTGCTTTCCAGAATCGGTGCGCCAGCAAGCACACGGGCACGCCGCCTGCCCGCCCAGGGCTGGAGACGCGGGTGCCCCGATGGGCTGAGCAGATCAGACGTTGCCGGGGGGTTGTTGGGGAGGGGTGACCCGGATACTCACGGCTCACCCTTTAAGGGCCGGTTGAGAGGCAAGTCCGTGGTACTTGACTGCGTGCCGAGAGCTGTGTCTCAGCCGGCCTTGCCGTGTTCTCCCCGCAGCGTTTGAGGACATGCTGGAAAACCCACTGAACAGCACCCAGTGGATGAACGACCCGGAGACGGGGCCGGTCATGCTGCAGATCTCCAGGATCTTCCAGACCCTGAACCGCACGTAGGCGCAAGTGCGGCCGCTCCCCTGCACGGCTCCAGCACCTGTCCGGGAGCCGGGGCGGCCCCAGCCACGGCCCTCTTCTACCCGCCAGCCTGCCAGCCAGCCGCGGAGGAGTGTGGAGACCCCTCGGTGCCAGTGCCGCAGGCTGGGGGGGAGGGGGAGGCTCGCCGGACCCCGCCCTCCGCACCCCACCCCGGGTCGTCAGGGCTCGGGGGCCCTTCTCCGGCTTTGACCTTCTGCTTAAACACTCGTGTGATGGCAGCGTGCACGGCCGGCCGCATCTCCAGCCTCCAACAGTGTTTACAGGCGTGGATGCCCCGGGAGGGGTCCCCTCCCTCCACAGTGTCCCTTTGGGCTCTGGAAACGCTCTTTGACCCGACCCGCAGGCGCTGCTTGTCACTTGGAAGAAGGCATGTTTCGACCCAAAGTGTGAAGTCAGTACTAACTTATGTAGAGGAAATCACAGATGATTTTTCTTTAATAAATAAATTCCCTTTTTGCTATTGTCATAGTGTGACTTTAGCGCCGGAGAGGGGCTTGTGCGCTCCCGACAAAGCACGCCCGCCGCGCCTGTCCCGCTCCGGGCAGTCGCTGCCCCCTCGGCGTGGCGGGCTGCCCGGGCTCGCGTCTTGGGGGCAGAACGGCGGTTCCGACTGGAGCGGACGGTCTGTATGGGCCCGGCGAGCGCTCCCAGGCCTCCGAGGGCGGACCGGATGCCGGTGGGGCTGCCTTTCCTTTGTAAACGTTACTCGCGTTGCAAAATGAGAAAATGGGTTAGCGCTTTGCTTTTTTTTTCAATGCTGGTCGTTACTTACTGCTTGACGCATTTTTCAGATGTTTTTCTGAACTCGTCTTCTGCAGCAGCCCCACCTGCCTGGGCCCAGACCTGGGTGCGCTCGGCCGTCGGCTGCGCGGTCAGGTGCGGGCCGGGGGCCGCCTCGCTGCCCTGGGGCCTCCGCCGCTCGCCCGCCCCACTCAGCTGAGCGCAGGTGTTGTAAGGAAATGTTTCTTTCCGCAGATCTGGGTTTTTCTCATTCTTTTGATTCAGACTTAGAACTTGTGGACAGAATAGTAAAAATTTTTACAGGTAGCGAATCTCACATTTTCTAAGCCTGAGGCGGTCTCCACCGCGGTGCGCCTGGGGGCTCAGTTGGTTAAGCTTCCGGCTCTTGATTCCGGCTCAGGTCATGATCTCAAGCTTCGTGAATTCGAGCCCCATATAGATCTCCGCACTGACAGCACGGAGTGTGCTTGGGATTTGTTCTCTCTCTCTCTCAAAATAAGTAAGCAATAAAAAAGAAAAAATACAGTCCCAGCTGTTCCCGAAGCACCAGGGATGTGCCCTGCACTCCATTATTTGTGCCCTGTCTTTAAAGCGACCGACTGGAAGGGTTCTTAGGCCTCGTGACTTTCTCCTCTGCCTCACGGCAAAGCAGTGAGCCACGGGGCCGTGGCCTCCGTGCCCCGGACTCCGAGCCCCACGCAAGGGGCGGTGCGCTTTGCAGTCTTCGTGTGGAAGCACATTCCTGGTCGAACCGCTCGAAGGCAACACCCCGGGGCCGGCCCTGCGGCGTGGCGGCTGTGGACCGCCTCGTGGGCCAGGCCTCAGGCCACCCTGTGCACCTTCTTTTCTGTCCACTGTGTAAGGACATTCCTCAGGAGGGAAAGCGTGTCTGACCCTGGCTCGGAGCCTGTTCTCTGACCGACACGGCCGTGTTGCCTGCTGGGGGTTGGTTTCGGTCGGGCGGCAGCAGCTCGTGGTGCCCTCCCCGGGGGGCCGATGGCCTGTCTGGGCTCCGGCTCCTGCAAGGCTTCCCTCCCTGCTTGGGGACCTGTGCTGCGGCCCCCCGGGCGTGGGGAGCTGCGGCCCTTGTGACTGATGAGGGCCTGCCCTACGCGCCTGCAGAAGGACATCGCTGGCGTGTCACCAGTGCACGTGTACCAGTGCACGTGTGCAGACTGCGGTGCAAGGCCCTTTCCCCACTGTGGTCCGTCTTCCTGGGAGCCTCACCCCTGTCTCAGGCGTGGCCCGGTGGGTGGGAAAGGCCGAGGAGAGGCCTCAGTGCACGGCCGGTGGCGCAGGTCTCTGTCCAAGGGGAGAGGCAGCCGAACTGTTCCATCCCCCAGCCTGTCCGCGGGCGGCCATGCTGCCAGGGCAGGTGGGGGACTGCCCCCTCTGTAACAGACATCTCATGATGTCTGCTTCAGTGTCTGCAACGAGAGTTTGAGAAAATACAACCTAATTCCACGCGTGGTTTGAGAATTCAAGGCGTGCCTGGGTGGCTCAGTCGGTTAAGCCTCCGACTTCGGCTCAGGTCATGACCTCACAGTTTGTGGGTTCGAGCCCCGTGTCAGGTTCTGTGCTGACGGCTCGGAGCCTGGAGCCTGCTTCCGATTCTGTGTCTCCCTCTCTCTGACCCTCCCCCGTTCATGCTCTGTCTCTCTCTCTCAAAGATCAACATTAAAAAAAAGAAAAAAGCCCACCTAATGCCGTAACAGGAGTGTGAAAAATAAAGATAGCAATTTGAATCGGATAGGACGGACGTCTCCAGCATGGCCATCGTGGAAGGAAAAGTGACCCCGTCGTTTCCTGCGCCTGCGACTTGTCACTCTGCCCTCGGTGGCCTCGCGCTCAGGCCACCAGACCGAAGCAAAGGTAACGGTTTGTGACCTAAATCCTGGGGCTCCCGGGATGGGCCAGGGCTCGCTGACATTCTAGACACTGCCAAGTGCAGGCTTCCTGGACCAGCTCGGCCACGTTCTGGGGCGATTCCAGGGGAGCTAGTGCAAAGGGCTGTGTGCTCAAGGCGGAGCTGGTCTCTAGGTGCGGGCAGTGCAGGGAGGGGGGAGCTCGTGATGCCTGGCGGGCCGAGGGGAGCTGGGCACCCGGTGGATGAGGCACCGCACATTTTTGGGAGGCCTGGGCTCGGGGCAGGTGTGTGGGAGGCCCGGGGTGAGAAGGACGAGAAGGAGCGCGCTGGGGGTTCCTCTTTCCCCTCTGGGCAACCCTCCCGCGTGCCCCGCCTTCTCGCAGGCTCTCGACTCCGCAGGGGGCTGTGGCAGGGGTGATGAAGCCCGATGTGTATCAAGAGGCCCCTTCCCGGTGCAACGTCCCCTCAAGGCTTCACCTTTAAAGCCGGTTTGGAACCGGGTGGCATTTCTGGCCAGGACGCTGGGTACTGGCCTGACCCGAGCGCGTCCTCCCTAGGAGAGAGGGCACCGAAGCCGGGGAGGGAGGCCGCTGGCCCGCGCTGAGTACAAGCCCCAGCAGCTCCCCGCAGGCCTGCACCCCAGGCTTTCCTTCCTTTGCCTGGACCAGGAACGTGGGCGCTCCCAGTTGGCGCTCAGGCCCGGGGACTCTCCCTGTTGCCTCCCGTTGCCCTCGCCATCCCTTCCCGAGTGGCAGCAGGTAATGGAGGGTGTGGGGTCCACGGGCCATCGGATTGTCCCCGGAACGGCCCTCGCCGCACACTGTCCCTCTGGGAACTGGGCGGCTGTTTTAAGTCAGATGTGGGCCCCAGGGAGGGGGAGCGTCTGCTCCGAGCAGCAGAGGTAGGGTGCATCTGGCGAATGCATCCTTCTCAAGAGCGTTTGCTTCCAAAATGAAAAGGTCCCACCGAAGGAGGCTCGGCCAGCAGTTCTGCCCAGCTCACTCGTGAAATGCTTCTGGATCATCAGGTGAGTGTTCCAGAAGAGCCCGGCCCTGACCGTTGCTGGGCGTCGCGTCAGGGCCTCCCTGGCCCACGGCCTCCTGCCTGGTGAGGAGTCAGGGTCCACCCCATCACCCCGTTGCTGGCACCTTGGCGGTGTGGTGTGAGCACGGTGCCGGGAGCCCGTGGCGGTCTCAGAGGGGCTCCGGGAAACGTGTGGAAGCCTGGGCTGCCGGCCCCCAGGCTCCCTTCCCATCGGCCCCTGTGCCCCACCCCGCCCCACCCCCGTCTCCGGCGCTCTCCGCCCGGGACCATCCACTCGTGTCTGTGAAGCGTGGCACGTCGGTCCTCATGGGAAGATGGGTCTCCGCCCTCCTCCTGGCACCGGGGCTTTCTGCCAAGCACTCAGTCATGGCGTGTGGTCCCCTGCCCCGGCCGGGACGTCCCTGGGACCTCCACGTGTGCCTATCCGCTGGGCCCCCGGAGCGGCCTCTGCTACCGAGCGCGGGCCCACGGGGTGGGGGTGGGGGCCCCTCCGTGCCCTGCCGCGAGGCCTTTCCGGGTCCGAGCGGGAACGTGCCTGTCTCCCTCCAACCGTCCAGCCGGGACACGGGCGCCCATGCAGTGTCCTGTGCCCTCACATCCCAGCCCTGGCCCGCGAGGACCGGCCGCAGCTGGACGACGTGACGGGATCTCTCCTGCTCGTCCCTGCCAGTTGTCACACCGGGCGCTGACGCAGGGTCGCCTCCTTGGAGGACGTGCCGGGGCGCCCGGCAGACGCCCCTTTGGGGGCGTTTTCCTAAGCTAGAGGTGCCCGGTGAGAACACGGTCCCCAGCCGCAGCCCTCGGGTCCAAACGCTGCCGTCCAGGGATCACCACCCGGGAACGCGGCCCGACGCCATCCCCCCTGCCTTCCGGGGTGAAGTCCGTTTGCCCTGGATCCAGGTCCTGGGATTTGTGGGTAACCCTCAGACGAGCCGGGTCTGGGTGGTGGTGACTTTCTGATGTTTTACGTCTGTGTTGAGGAAATCATTTCCTGTATGTTTAAGGATATCACCCCCCTTTTTATTTATTTAAATTTTTTTTAACGTTTTATTTATTTTTGAGACAGAGACAGAGTGTGAGCAGGGGAGGGGCAGAGAGAGAGGGAGACACAGAATCCAAAGCAGGCTCCAGGCTGAACT